GCATGCTCCAACTGGACGGGTGGACTGATCGGAGAGGACCGCCACACTTGAATGTGATGGTCTCCTTCTATGTTACCGCGCGTTCATTAAACGCGATATGAACGTTCATAAAACGCGCGCGGTGAACGCGCCTGAACGCGTTTGACGCGTTCGCGCAGGGGGGTGGGCGGGGTGGGGAGGGCCTTTGGGCAGTGTGGGGAACGGCGGTGGTGCCTGGGGGGGCTGTGGGCAGTGTGGGGAGCGGCGGCGGTGCTTGGGGGGGGCTGTGGGCCAAAGCCCCAGACTAAACGGAAAAAAAAAAAAGAAAAAAAAAAGGACAGTGTGTGTGAATTTGTGTGTTTGTGTGTGTGAACGTGTGTGTGTGTGTGTGATAGGTCCTCCTTTTTTTTTACGGGGGGCTGGGGGAATCTCCCCCCCTCAGACAGCCCATACAGGCTATCTGAAGGGTCCTTGCAGCCTTGTTGCGAAGACCCCCCTACCCACCAACGTCAAGGTAGGCAGTGAATATGCAGTGTAGCACGAGCTGGCCGAATATATAATGAAGATTCGAATTCAGGTTTGTGTTTCAGCAGTTATGGGTTGCTCATGTAGCTAGGCCGTAGCTACCTCTGCACGTGATTCTGAAGGCTTGGCTGCACTACTCACCAAATGTGCAAAACTAGAATGAATCTTCTGCAGAACATGGAATAATACGCCGCCATATGTTTTGTCTTTTCTCGTTTTTCTTTTTTTCTTTTTTTTTTTTTCTCTTTTTTTTTTCTTCTCGTTTTTCTTTTCTTAGGAATACGTGCATTTTCGTTTTTCTTTTTTCTCTTTTTCCTTTTTCTCGTTTTTCTTTTCTTAGGAATACGTGCAGTGGCCCTAAGGGCCTCTACTCATCACAGGCAGAAAAGACAAAACATATGGCGGCGTATTATTCCATGTTCTGCAAAAGATTCATTCTAGTTTTGCACATTTGGTGAGTAGTGCAGCCAAACCCTCAAAATCACGTGCAGAGACTAGTAGCTACGGCCTAGCTACGTGAGCAACCCATAACTGCTGAAACACAGACCTGAATTCGAATCTTCATTATATATTCGGCCAGCTCGTGCTACACTGCATATTCACTGCCTACCTTGACGTTGCTGGTTAGGGGGGTCTTCGCGACAAGGCTGCGAGGACCCTTCAGATAGCCTGTATGGGCTGTCTGAGGGGGGGAGATTCCCCCACCCCCCTGTAAAAAAAAAAAAGGACCTTCAGATAGCCTGATTGGGCCGTGAAAAAAAAAAGAAAAAGGAGTGCATATCATCAGCATATGTGTGTGTGTGTAAATTTTGTGTGTATATGTTTGGGTGGGGGTATTTCGTGTTTTTTTTTTTTTTACTTCGTTTTTTGAATTTCCGTAGTCCTCCACGCGCGCGCATGCCCCCTGGGGTCGCGTTCAATTTTTTCGCGCTCCGTCGCGCGCAGCGCGTTTGAACGAGATTGAACGCGGCCCCGGGGGGTATGAACGCGCACGCGCGTTCCGCGCGTTCAACCGGTTACACAGGTCTCCTTTCCGACCAGTGTTGTTTTTTGGAAATCCCACTGCATGTCGGGAAAGGATAAAGGAGCGGAGGTTTACTTCAACATTTTGTCGGAGGCAATCAAGGAGGTCGGTGAGAAAGTTGTCGTCGGTGTCATCATGGACAATGCGGCTGTGTGTGCAAGAGCGGGCAGGCTAGTGGAGGACACATTTCCCACCATCTTTCATGTACCATGCGCAGCGCATTGCCTGGACCTCATGTTGCACGACATTGGGCGGACAGATTGGGTGAAGGAGGTTGTGGGAAAGGGCAATGACTTGGTGAAGTTCTTCATGAACCACCAACGCGTACGTGACATCTTCTACGTGCACTCCAGCAGGAGGCAGCTGTTGCGACCTGCTGCAACACGGTTCGCTACAAATTTTCATATGCTCGACGGCTTAAAAAAGCAACGCAATGCACTGGTTGTCACTGTCAGTCATGATGCTCGCTGGAAGCCGACCGTGGTACCTCATGCGCAGCGTGACACATTCTACGAGATGGAGGAGATCGTCCTTGATGGAGCGGGCTTTTGGGAGGGCGTCAACAAAGTCATCTCCGCTGTTTATGACATTGTCCTGCTGCTGAAGGTTGTGGATGGCACTGGACCCACTGTCGGCAAAGTGTATGCGAAGATGGATAAGGCGGTGGAAAGATTGCGGGCCAATTCAAAATTGAAAAAGGATGAGCAGGAGGACATCGAGGAAATGGTCTTGCGCCGATGGAATGCCATGACCACACCGCTGCATTGTGCAGCATTATTCTTGGATCCGGAGTACCGCTCGTACAAGCCACAAAACGACCCGGAGATCCAAGACGACTTCTACACGTGGTTGTATACGTGGTTGAGGGGACGGTTGCAGGAAGTGATAGACTAGGTGGAATATGAGGTGGATTGTTGGGTGCAGAACATTGGGAAGTTTTCCACAGAGAAGGCGATGGAAGCGGCGCGGAAACAGAACCCTGCAGCATGATGGCTTCGGTGGTGTTCCGAGTTACGGTACTTGCAGCCACATGCCATTCGCCTTCTTGGCCAGAGATCATCTGCCTCGGGTTGCGAGAGAAATTGGAGTCTCTTCGAGGCGATCTACACGCGCCCACGTAACGGCTTGGCCCCCGAAACAATGCAGAAACTCGTGTACTGCAGGTGGAATATGTACCTGCTTGACACCTTGCAGCAGATGCCCGAGATGGGCCACAATGTGATTGACTGGGATGACCCACCAACCGAGGAAGAGCAGAAGGAGCAAGCTGGGCGGGCAAAGTTCGCTGAACGCAGATTGAAGCCGATCGAGTCGACTGGGGAGGATGCTGCTCCACCTGCTGATGAAGGGGGTGAAGAAGGTGGTGATGAGGTTGATGATCATCGCCGTGAGCCATGCGAATTGAATGTCATTTAGAATGGGCAAGAGGAGGACTGGAGAGGACTAACGAAGGCAGGCATGTATATGGCCTCACGTTCGCAGAGACAAGTGCGCAAGAAGGCACGGTCCTTGGGAACAGCGGAGCATGTGCGCAAGCATATGAAGGGAGGTGGTGGAGCAAATCCTGATGGTGCTGCAACAGCAGCGCAGGTTGTGCAGCAAGAAAAACGTCCGAGAGGCAGGCCACGAAAAAACAGCATGGCCCCTGAGAATGGAGAAGCTTCGAATGTGGCTGCTATAGAGGAACAGGGCACCAAAAGCCAAGCAGATGCAGAGGAGTGCAGCGGCAGCKAGRACGAGAATGAAGRAGAGGGGGGTGGAGGTGGTGGAGCAAATCCTCGTGGTGCTGCGACAGCAGCGYAGGTTGTGGAGCAAGAAAAACGCCCAAGAGGCAGCCTGCAAAAGAACAACTTGGCCCCTGAGAATGGAGAAGCTTCAAATGTGACTGCTATAGAGGAATGGGGCAAAAAAAGCCAAGCAGATGAAGAGGAGTGCAATGACAGCGAGGAGGAGCACGAAGGAGAGGAGGGTGAAGACCACGGTCTTCAACGAAAGAGGCGTCGTGATAGGGGACAATTTGAACAGGGCACTGATGTCGCTACATCTGAATATGGCACAAGCGACGAAGCACGCCCTATCGGTGATAAACACCGAGAGAGAGAGAGAGAGAGAGAGAGAGAGAGAGAGAGAGAGAGAGAGAGAGAGAGAAAGAGAGAGAGAGAGAGAGAGAGAGAGAGAGAGAGTAATTTGAGTTGTCAACTGTCATTCACAGTGAATAACAAAGAGACCCGGTCGGGACGTCTGAACTTTGAAGTTTGAAGTCTGAAAATCTCAAAGTTCAAAGTTCAAACTATTTTATAAAAGGTTATTCGGACTTATTCCTAACTTCATGTCAGTTTGGTGCTTGTTGAGCTCTTTGCAATCCATATGGTCGTTGCTGACTTTTGACTTTCTTAAAGTTTCTTTCTTTGTAGAATGTAGCTGTGTACTTCATAAGGTATGTTCAGCAAGTTTCCAAAACTTGGTTACTTTTCCCACTTCCCTATTTCCCATGTCCCCCATTTACCCCAGGCCTTTGCTGGCTTTTCAGTGTTTTCGGTCTTTGCAACTTTGCATAGCACTTCGTACTTGGCACTATGTGCACGGTTTTTTTTTATATTATTTTATTATTTTTTATTTTTTTATTTTTATTTTATTTTTACATCCGGACATATATATTTATCCGGACAGGGATCCGGACATGTTAATCCAGACATGTCCGGATTAACCGGAGAATACCGGAAATCCGGACGGCTGGATCAAACCGGAAAGTCCGGAGTCCGGTTTCCGGACTTGTCCGGTTTACTTGTCCGCCGCTGCCATGGTAAAGTCTATCATTCCGCACGGCGCTTCTCGCCATCACTCTTCTCGTTACTTTTTCTTCGCACTAATTCTTCTTTTACCTCTTTGATTCTCAATTAATTACTTTCATTATCATTATCATCATCCCATACTCAGTCTTGATGTTGTACGATTCCTCCTCAGAAGCTTTAGGTCGTAGACGATTAGGATGGATTGAGTAGGGAGAGCTCTTTTCCGCAGGGGAAACACAAGGTGGGAGGTGTTTGCCCTCAGGGAGCAAGGGCAGATAAGAGGGATTGTTACACTCTGGGGCTGGGAGAGATGGAAGGGGGAACATCATCTACTAGCGGAGGCAGAGTGAGACAAAGATAGCTCGAGGAATACCTGGGGGGGGAACAGGTAGCCACGTGGGTAGTAGGGTAGAGGGAGGATCTTCTCTTGCTGGGGCTAATGGGAAATGCCCGTCATCAAAGGGATTCTAATCAGCGGAGGCAGTAAGGGGAGACGAGGTGAGTTAGGTGGGTAAGAGGTGAAAAGAGGTGGAGTGGACAGGGGAGGCATCATCATTATCATCATCTCGTCATCATCAGTCTTGTTAATCATTATCCTTGCCGTCTTCATCAAGGGTGTTGTTGATCTCTTCCTAGGTAAGTTATGGTTTCAAAAGGTAGGAGGTTGAGTGGGGAGAGCTCTTCTCCGCAGAGGCATCACAAGGAGGGAGGTGCTCACCTTGTAGGGGGTAAGGGCAGATTAGGGGGACTGTGCTAGTCTGGGGCTGGGAGGGATGACGGGGTCGCATCATCTCCTGGCGGTGGCAGATTGGGCAGGCGTTGGCTGAAGGTATACCTTTAGGGGGAACTGGTTGCCTCGAGGGATCAATGGCAGTGGAGGGTTTCTTTCTTGTTGAGGCTGATTGGTACTACCTATTATCAGATAGTTCTACTCAGTGGAGGCAGCGAGAAGGGAAGAGGGGAGAAAAGAGGGGGAAGAAAGGAGGAGGAAAGAGGAAGACGAAGCAAAGCAGCATCTATCTTCATCATCTATCGTATCATCATCATCATCACATCAAGATTATCACTATCGTCATCAGATTGGTTGTCTGCTCTGGATCCCACCATTATCAGATCCGAATTCTTGGTGACATTCTAATATAGCTGATTCCCTAAATGAGCTTTTATTGTGTTTTTGCCTAGGTTGATTAGTAGCCAGAACGACGCTGGCTCGTGCTGGGGCATCGCCCTGTAACCTTCATAGGAGCTTGAGGCCTTGGATAGAGATCTGGGGATTGTTGAGGGTGGAAGGCAATCATAATACTCGACCAAAGGCTACAATCTGGTCGACAAGGGTTGGCACTGGGGTGGGTGGCACTGCCCTGTAAACTAGCTGGAGTGGGGTGTGAGACCGGGTAGAGGCTTGGTTGGTACACAGTATTGGCTCGGTAGAGATTGGCTGGGGTGTGAGACCGGGTAGAGGCTTGGTTGGTACACAGTATT